TGGGAGAAAGATGATTTTAATTGACATGTTAAGTTTAAAATGTCTATGGGACATCTAGTTCAAGATGTCTAACAGGCAATTGGCAAGGTAAAATTGGAAGATGGGAAAGAGGTTAAGACTAGACAAGCAGATATGAGTATCTGAATAGAGATCAAAACCAAACTGCAGACAGTTAAGAGAATGAGATGAAAGGAAATTGAGGGACTGATTGTAGACAGCTTTCTTGAAGAGTTTGGCATCAAAAGAAATGACATATAGAACAAAATAGCTAATAAAGATGGACAGATCAAGTGAAAGGTTTTTGAGGATGAGGGAGACATGGGCATGTCTATAGGCAAGCAGCCAGGAGCCACGGAGAGATTAAAGATTAGTCAAAGAATAGGAATGGTAGGGAGGGCAATCTGCTGGAGAAGATAGGATGGAAATTGATCACATGTGCATGTAGAGAGGTTTGCCTTAGGAAGGGTTGCTTCTCCCTGTAAAACAGGAGAAATTGTTGCCCTCTTTGTGAATGACCTCAATTTTTCAGTGAAATATGAAGCAAGGTTCTCAACTGAGAGGGTGAGAGGGAGGGGAACTCTGGGAGGTCTCAGGAGGGAAAATGGTTTGGAAAAGTCACTGTGAATGGAATAATTAACTGGAATAGTATGAATGTCCCAATTTTTAAAAAGAGGTACAGAGAGGAGTAGACCCTTCAAACTACAGGACTTTGATACTTCAAAGTATTCTAATATAAATCACTAAAGATATGGTTAAAAAATCTAGAAAAGGAAGCAGTAATTATAAAGAGATATCATGGGTTTATTAAGGACAGGTCATGCCAAATTAACCTTATTTCTTTTTTTTTTACATCACTAAACTGGCAGAACAAAAATCTATAGTTTTCTCATATTTTGACAAAGCATTGGATAAAGTTTTATATACAATTCTTGTGGAACAGATGAAATTATATGGACTAGACAGAAAAATTCTGAATCAAATGGCTGGACTCAAGTAGTTGTTACAGTTCAATGTCCACTTTCTTGGTGGGTGGGTGTGGGGTGGGATGGTGGTCTCCATCAGAACACCACAGGGTTCTAATAAGTATGTTACTGTGGTATTTGAGATTTTTATCAATGACTTGACTAAGGTCAATAGATGACATGCAGGTTCACCAAATTTGCAAATGACACAAAATGAGAGGGATAACTAATACAATGAATGAGTCAGGAAAGAAAAAGATCTTAATTTTTTTTTAAACATACCAAACCTATGATTTCATCAATGTATGAGTCAACCAGGATATAGCAACACTTTTTCTGCATCTTAAGAGTCTTAAGTGATTTTCTCGAAGACATCGAGAAAAGTTAAATGACTTGCACAGATTCAGTCAGTATTGTGTCTGAGGAAGGACTTAAACTGTGGGTCTTTATAAGCCCAAGGCCAACTCTCTATCCACTATGCCATTAGTGACAAACACATTTTTCAGACATGATTAATATGTCTTGTTTGACTGTACTTAATTAAGTGAAAGTTCTGTTTCAAGGGTGAGAAGGTAATCATCTAGAAGTCAGTGTTATAAAAAAATAGGTAATTGTTTTCCCTTAAATTATTATATTTGTTCTAAGTCCCTGAAGATAGAACCAGAAGTCATGGATGGGAGTTGCAGAAAGCCATTTGGTTTTGATATGAGGAAAAACTTTGTAGAACTATCAAAAAGTAAAATTGGCTGCCTTGGGAGGTAAAGAGATTTCTGCTCATTTGCAAGTCAGATGTTATAGTGGAGACTTTTTAGATATGTTGGACTAAATAGATGCTGAGGTTACTTCTAACAACAAAATTCTATTTTCTGGTTCTCATTTTGGCTGAGAGCATTCCACAGATTCCAGCTCCCATCACTATAGCATGCATCTGTGTCAAGCTTGTTATATTTCTCAAATTTATCTGTTTCTGTCCAGGTGGTCTGTAGTATACTCCAATGAAAATCATGTCTGTTTCTGCCTCTTGACTGATATTCATTCAAAAAAAATCTCTCTTCACATAAATATTAAGTGCTTACTATGGACAAAGCATTGTGCTAAGTGCTGAGGACATTAACAGAAAAAGCAGATTCTGCTCTCAAAGGGTTCATATTCTAATGGGGGAGACAATATAAAAGTTTTTAGTCAGATGGAAGAGTCCTATGGTCCTTAGGGTGCAGCATCAGAGTAGATGGTAATACCTCATCTCTAGGTCATTTCATTGATAAAAACAGTGTCTGATATTGAACCATTTGGAAGCGCCAAGGACTTCAGGGGCAGTAACTTTTAGATCTTCAGTAGCTATCTATAGAATGTTCAGGAGCAGCTGCCAGGCTGCATCTCCACAGGGGTTGTTTCTCAGGATAGCTATGAGCACTAGGTTGGAAAAACTGCTATTTTTAAGGTTCTTGGGTTCAGGGTTGCTGGGGAAATAAATGATAGTGGCATAGATGGTGCTGGATGGTAGTTGTGGTGGTGGCAATATGACTTGCCTGGCACATGTTGCTGTCTTTCCCTGAGGATCTATTGTTATTAGGTGGGCTCACCTGCCCTGTGGGTGGGAGATGGTATATAGTCCCAGAAGTCTTAGTGAGGTTTTAATCTTTAAAATTGCACCAAAACTTCTGAGTCATCATAAATGGATAGATGTATATATTACAACATATGTATGCTACATTATATCTTAACATGCAATGCTAACTAACCTTCCCTTGCCTCTTTATTCTTTTGAATAATACACACCCAAGCATAATCGTATTCTAATCACAGCACCCACCCTACCAAGTCTTAGTGACGCCTATGAAATTAAATTAGCATAATTGCTTTAGGATCTCTAGTTTATTTTATAGTGTACTTAGTATGTATACTGTGTATATCTTACTACTTTGTGTATTGGTATATAGAGGACACATGTTTTACCACTGACCCCTTTCTTGGGTTTGATCTCCTTCAGATTTCCACCTCAAGTGCTATTCTTCCTAGTTTGTAGCTATTTTCCATATTATCTAAGTTTATGAATGTACATAGGCAGCTTTGTTCTTTAAAGAGGTTTCCTTCCAGTTAACTCTTAATTCACAAGACTCTGGGCAGATTCATTGTTAAGTATAAAATATTCCTATATTTTACCTGTAACCCCCCAAATTGAAATCCCGTCCTTAGATAAACTTTTTAACCAGCTGCTTGTGTTCCAAATATGCTTTCCTTCTTTTTGACAGGTAGCAGTGATGAAAATACCACCTGTGCTCCTGTGAGGAACAGTTTTTTGCCCAAGTATTTGATAATACTTTCTAGATTCTTTCCAGCAGTACCATCTGAACCCCATGAATCACTGGAAGTGAATAGTAGTAATCCATTTTGACAAGTCTTGACAGGTTCTGTTACATCATGTATACATGCCTTAAGATAGCAGAATTCTCTATTAATGTAACAAGTTAAAAAACAGCTGCCTTAGTATCCCTCAAGAGGGAGTCACCAATTACCATTATTCATCTCTTCTTTCTCTGACCTGGGTAGCCTCACCTGACACTACTTTCTGATTATTATTCCTGGGAGAACAAGCAATCTCTTCTGTCAGTCAATACCATTTATTAAGTACCTACTTTGTGCTAGGCAGTATGCTGAGTTGAAGATGAGGGGGTGGGGGGGGAATCTGTACTTTCAAGGAGTTCATAGTCTAACTGAGAAGACAGGAAACAAACTATGTAAAAACAAGGTACAGGATAAATTGGAGATAATCAACAGAGAAGGCACTACCATTAAAGGGGATCAAGAAAGTTTTCTTGTAGAAGGTGGAGTTTTAGCTACAACTTGAAGCCAGGAGGAGGCTTGAAGTCAGATGAGGGGGAGAAAATTCCAGACATGGGAGGGAGACAGCCAGTGAATTTGCCCAGAATGGGTGGAGAGCTTCAAAATTGTTTCTTGGCTCCTAGTGTTCATTGATGTCTCCTGCCTTTTTGTGTCTAATCTGTGAACCCTCCATTATCCTGGCACAGATCAAAATCCTCCCTTTTTTTTTTCCTGCCTTGGTTTTCACACTGAAGCCCTACATGCCAGTTTTAACAGACCACTCTATTGTTCCAGATAACACGGAGAAGGGGGAAAAAAGGAGAGAGCCCCAAGCTCTTTCATATTTTTTTTCTGGCATAGAGAGATATTTTGAATTTAGGTAAGTAACACAATTGTGGTTCCTCAAACCAAAAGTTTTGCTAAAGGGAAGAACAGATTTGGGAGGAGATAACAGAGTGGAAGAAATGAGTCAGGAGAATTACAGAACTCAGAAGCTCTATGAAAATTGCTACCTTTTGAATAAAAGCATATTCATCCTGGTGTGTTGTTGAAATAGAGTGCAGGTGGGGATCCCAATGAAGGTAGTCCCTTAAGACTTGAAAATCAGTTTCCTTTGGGTGAAAAAAAGTAATCTGAACATTCCTTTGAGTGGCTGGAAGTTAAGACGGCTGCACGGCCACAGAGACAGGATGCTTTTTTCTCGTTAAAAGGGATTTATAGGTGGGAATCTTAAAACGAAAAGAAATTAGCAGAAACTGCTAGAGACCAGGAGATTTTGTGCTAAGTAGAAAATAAGGCTCCAGGGAGAAGGCAGCGCAGCGAGCGACAGGACCAGAGATTCCTGTCACCTGCTGGCAGAAACAAAAGGGAAACGCAGATCGACCTGGAAAGCCGTCAGCACCGTCAGAGGCAGCTTCGGACTGCCATTCACCTGGCGGGGCGGAGAGACAACCCTGAAACCTGAAGCCGAGGTTCCGGGAGTCGGAAAAAATAACTGGAGCCCGAGGGTGGGGTGCTGCCAGTCATGCAGGTGGAGGGCGGAACCCGAGGGAGGGTTCACCCGGGCTGAGGCGGAACTTGGATGTGAGAGGACACCTAACCCCAGAGTTGGGGGGGAAAGGTTCGACAGGCGGACTCCTCGGAGCGAGGGGGAGGGGGCGCCCCCGGTTCTCGGCCTCCGGGCTTCGACGCCCGCCAGTGGGACCCGCCGCCGCCATGGCCTGGAGCACGACGTCGCCCGGGGCCCACCAGCCCGACAACACGGCCTTCACGCAGCAGCGCCTGCCGGCCTGGCAGCCGCTGCTGTCGGCCGGCATCGTCCTGCCGCTCTTTTTCTGCGTGGGCCTGGCCTTCATCGGCCTCGGCATGGGCCTCTACTACTCCTCCAACGGCATCAAGGAGATGGAGTACGACTACACGGACGACCCGAGCACCGGCAACTGCTCGGCCTGCGCCGGGGCCTTGGAGAAGGTGGTGCCGCCGCCCGCCAACTGCGACTGCCAGTGGTGCTTCTCGCTGCCCGAGCTCTTCCAGGGCCCCGTGTTCTTCTACTACGAGCTGTCCAACTTCTACCAGAACTACCGCCGCTACGTGGTCTCGCGAGACGACGAGCAGCTCAGCGGGCTGGCGAGCGCGCTGCGTCACCCCTCCAACGACTGCGAGCCCTACCAGTTCACCCCGGCCGGCGAGCCCATCGCGCCGTGCGGCGCCATCGCCAACAGCCTCTTCAACGACTCCTTCAAGCTGCTGCACCAGCGCCTGCCCAGCGGCGCCTACGTCGAGGTGCCCCTCGACCGCACCGGCATCGCGTGGTGGACCGACTACCACGTCAAGTTCCGCAACCCAGAACCCATCAACGGCAGCCTGAAGCTGGCCTTCCAGGGTACGGCCAAGCCGCCCAACTGGCCGCGGCCGGTCTACGACCTGAGCCCGGACCCCAACAACACGGGCTTCGTGAACCAGGACTTCGTGGTGTGGATGCGCACGGCGGCGCTGCCCACGTTCCGCAAGCTGTACGCGCGCATCCGCTACGGCAGCTACTCGGCGGGGCTGCCCCGCGGGGCCTACTGCGTGAACATCAGCTACAACTACCCCGTGCTGGCCTTCGGCGGCCGCAAGCGCATCATCTTAAGCAGCATCTCGTGGATGGGGGGCAAGAACCCCTTCCTGGGCATCGCCTACCTGACCTTTGGCTCCCTCTGCATCGTCACCGGCTTTGTCATGCTCGTCGTGTACATCCGGCACCAGGACGAGAACGGCGACGGGGAGGACGAGGACGAGTGACCCGAGCTGGGTGGGGACAGCTCCCCGCGGCCCCCTGCCTCCCCCCCACTCCGTCTCTTACCTGGGCGTCGTCTTGCAAGCGTTTTGAGCTGTTGTGTGCCTTCTTAAATATCTCCTTCCCAGCTCCACCTCATTCCATTCCTCCTGCAAATTTCCTGATTCCTTAATGGTTTCTCATTGTTTTTGTGGAGCTGGTTGGATGAAGTCTAGGGAAATAGCCTCCTCTACCACTTTAATGGTTTGGAAATTGATCAGATCAGCTTTTAAAGCTACCTCCCTCTTTAAATATCTCTTTCCCAGTTTCATCCCATCCCCCTTGAAACCTAATTCCTGATTGTTCCTGTGGAACTGTTTGGAGGATAGAGCTGAAGTCCAGCAATATTTATCCTCCTCCTCTTTCAAAGAGATTAGTCAAATTTTTCTAGTTTTTTGAGCTACCTACCTCCTTTCTACTCCCCACCTTACCCCGACGTAGTCCAAGGCCCGATTGTCCGGGGGAGATGATAGGTAGGCCTGTAGTCCAAATTATCCCTTCCCCCCTTTTATGTGTTGGAGGTTGAACTGGTTCTTAACAGCCCTCCGAGCTACCTACTTCCTTAACATGTCCTTTCCCATCCCAGCCCATTCCCCTTACAGCCCAATTCCTAATTGTTCATGTGAAACTCTTTGGAGGAAGGATGTGAAGTCCAGGGAAGTTTATCCTCCACCTCTTCCAGGAGGAATGGTTGAATCTTTCTAGCTTTTTAAGCTCCTTATCTCCTTAACACCTTTCCACTCCCAACTTTCCCTCCTCTTCAATGTAGTAAAATTCTTAATTGTTCCTGGGGGGCTGGTTGAATGATAGGCCTGAAGACCTGGGAAGTTTCCCTTTCCTCTCTTTAATATGTTGGAGGTTTAACTGGGTCTTACCAGTCCGTTGAACTACCTACCTCCTTAAAACAACTCCTTTCCATCCCATTTCCCTTCATACTGTGAGCTTTCTGTAGAATGGTACATAACTCCATTTCTAATTGTCCCTGTGGGAGTAGTTGGATGATTGACCTGAACTTAAGATAAATTTCCCTTCCCCTCCTTTATTGTTTGAAAATTAATCAGTTTCTGAAGCATAACCACAGATTATGTTGTGAATAATAGGGTTCAAGCAGTCAGATTTTAGGAATCATCTAGTATGAACCTCCTAATTTTACAGATGAGGAAATGGAGGCCCAAAGACAGGTGGCTTGCCTAAAGTCACACAACTAGTAGTGGCAAAACTGGGATAGGAAAAATAAATCCTACGACACTAAACCTATTGCTTTTTCCACTAGGTCATGCTGCCTCCCCAAATAATAATAATAATAATCGTGCCTTGCAAATAATGGTTTTATTCACTTCCTAAGGAAGTATTAATCTTATATTTTTACTATCTATAGTTCATTGTGGTCAAGGCTTGACATGTTTCTATTGCAGTAATTGGGAGCTAGACAAATTTTTCATGCATCTTGCAGATGCAAGAGAGCATTCATACTAATTCATTTAATATTTGAGGACAGGGCATTATATTATTAACAACCACTGGTTTATATGATGATGTGTGCAGACTGCATACATTATCTCGATTGAGCCTCAAACCAAACCTATAAGATAGGTGCAACAGGTAATATCTCCATTTTACAGACGAATAAACAGAGGTTCAAAAAGGCTGAATGTCTTGTCCATATTGGAGTATCTCCTGAGGTCAGAGGCAGGATTCTAACCTAGGTCTTCCTGACCAACTCCAGCACTCTAACCACTCTACAAGGCTTGTATTTGTCAGGACCTTCTTTTTTCCTGTACAAAACTAACTTGTCTTGTTATATTTAAGAGAACTTGCACTCCAGCCAAATGACTTTTCTATAAATAAGAATATCCTTGACTTTCTAGAAGTCTTTGCCTACTAAATAACTTACAGAAAGGTTAAAAGATTCCAGTCAGAGGGACTGCAGGGCAAACTAAGGGCACAAAGTCAAACTGTTAATTTTTTGTTGTAACAAAACTTAAGTTGTTGATCTAGGAAAGCATTAGGTGTCAGGAAAGATTTTTTTTTTACATTTCCTCACAAGAACATTTTAGCCTTCTCATTATTTTGTTAGATCTAATGAGAAAGGCCCAAAAAGTTAGCTTTTGTGAGGACCACAGAAGTAGCTTCTCTTCTAATTGTGAAATGTTATATGTTTCTAGTGGTCATGTTTAAAATTAATACTGTGGGCTGAGGAAAGATGCAAACTGAAATTTGAAGAACTTTTGAAACTTTAAGAGAGTTCTTAAACTTTGGACTGAATATTTTTTGTGATCATTCAAGTGATTCTATAAAATTCTCCTAAGAAGCAATTGTATTGTCTGTTAAAAATCACATCACTCTATGTAACTTCGAAACTTAAAAAACTGTTATGTCCGTCCTACGTGCTTTATTTTGGTGACAGTATGCATGCAAATATCCAAAACTCTACTAATGGGTAATATTGAGCATTTTTTTAATGTATGGTTTAGAATAGGTGACTTCTGAGGCCCCTTCCAACTCTCAAATTCTGTAATTCTGTTGTTCTTTCCATTATTGCCCATTGGTCTTGAGATCATGCTAATGTCCATGGCAATCACCATTAAGTATTGTAATTAAGTGCATTCTAAATTACCAAAGGCCTTTTTAGTTATATTCAACATAATTCTTATTTTCTAACTTATTTTTTGGAAAAATCGAGAGGCAGCATGGTAGTGTAATGATGTAGTGTAGAGAGCTGACTTTAAAGGTTGATTTGCATTCAAGTATTGCCTCTGACACACTGGCTATTTGACTCTCAGCAATTCATAACTTTTCAGTGCCCCATCTAACTCTTGAATGTTGTAAATTATAGAGCAGTTGCTGATTTGCATTGCTAGAGGGAATTTCGTCATTAGGAATTTTCTTCATCAATGAAAGCACAGGTCTAGACCAAAATGTAAAAATTGTTAAACCATGTAATTTTTTTATTAACCACACTCAGGGTTTTTATGTAGTCAATTCCCTGAATTTGACTAGATAACAGAATTTACTGTATGTGTTTCTATGTGTTGGGGAGCTAGATTTCTGTATTTCAATGTTACTTTTAGAATGTTCCATCAGTCTGTATATTTAAAAAATAACCAGTTTAATTTTTTTCTTAAAATTTTAACGTAAATTCAGTTTTCATATTCTTTTGCTTAGTGAAAGAGAATAAAGATTGTTTCCCTTATATTGACTCTTTTTTAGTGTACTGCATGCCTAGCCTTCATTTTCTTTTCTTTTTAAAATTTTATTATTTAACATTTTCTGTTTAAATTAAATTCCAAACTCTTCCCTACCCTTTAATCTCCTCCCTCACCCACTTGAGAAAGCAAACAATTTGTCAATTATACATATGAAATCAGGCAAAACATTTTCATGTTAGCCGTATTTTTTAAAAAAGACAAGAAAAATAAGGTGAGAAAATTATACATCAATTTACATTCAAAGTTCATCAGTTCTTTCTCTGGAAGTTGGTAGTAATTGTCTTGGATCATTGTAATGATCAGAGTAGCTAATTCTTTCACAGTTAATCATCTTAATAACATTGTTGTTACTGCACCCAAAGATCTCCCCATTCTTTTCACTTTACTTTGTATTAGTTTTTATAGGTCTTGCCATGCTTTTTTGAAACCAATCCCCTCATCATTTCTTATAGAACAATACTCCATTACAATCAAATGCCTCGACTTGCTCAGCCATTCCCCAATTGATCAGCATCCCCTTGATTTCCAATTCTTTGCCACCACGAAAAGTGCAGCTATAATTATTTTTGTATATGTAGGTTATTTTCTTTTTTCTTTGATCTCAGGGGATCACAGACCCAGTAGAGGTTTAAACATTGCCTGGTACCCCCATTTTCCCTTCTATTATAAAAGTTCCTTGCAGGCTTCTTTTATGTGAGAATATTTTCCCTATTCTGTTTCCCCCTTCCCCTTTCTCTGGGTGCATCCCTCCCCCTTTTTTTGGAGATCATTCCAACATAATTAACTCACATTCATATGCTTTGTATGTGTGAACTCCTTTTAATTGCCCTAATAATGATAAGCAGTTACATGTACCATCTTCCAATATAGGAAAGTAAACAGTTTAACTTTATTGAATCCCTTATAATTATTCTTTAATGCTTACTTTTTTATACCCATAGTTTTACAGCCCTACGGGCATAGTTCCAAATTGTTCTCCATAATGGAGTTCACTACAGGAGCAGTCCATTACTGTACCTATTTTTCCCCAATTCCCTTCAGCCTTTATAATTTCTGATAGGGTGAAGTGATTGCTTGGAATTGTTTTAATTTTCATTTCTCTAGTTAATAGTGATTTAGAGCAGTTTTTCATATGCTGTTGTTAGCTTTGATTTCTTCTAAAAACTGCCTATTCATGTTCTTTGACCATTTATCAATTGGGAAATGGCTACTTTTACAAATTTGACTCTGTTCTATACTCAGTATATATTTAAGAAATGAAGTTATTATCAGAGAAACTTGCTGTAAAAATTTTTGTAACTCAATGTCTGTGATACCTTCTAGCAAAATGTAGTTTCCCTGATTATCTCTTTCAGTTAGGTCTATTTTTGCTTTGCTTCGTCTGAGATCATGATTGCTACTCTTGCCTTTTTTATTTCAGCTGAAATATATTCTGCTGTAGTCCTCTATTTTAACTCTGTGCGTGTCTTTATGTTTCAGTGGTGTCACTTGTAAACAACATGTTGGATTCTGGTTTCTAATCCATTCTGCCATCTGCTCCCACTTTATGGGTGAGCTCATCCCATTCACATTCACAATTATGATCCCATTTTTTCTCGATCCCATTATCCTCTATTTTTTCCTCTCTTTATTCTGTCCCTCCTCAAAAATCTGTTTTGTCCCTTATGTTCTGATTCTTCTTTCACAACATGACTAATGTGGAAATATGTTTGATATGATCATGCACATATAGCCTATATCAAATTACATGCTGTCTTGGGGAGGGGGAGGAGAGGAGGGGGAAATTTAGAACTCAAAATCATATAAAAGTAAATGATAAAAACTAAAAACAAATTAATTTTTAAAAGTCTATTT